TAGTCTAGTAAGTTAAAGACTCAATGAATATGTTCAATCTTTTTGAGTACTAACATATTATTTAATACTTGAAGAATATCGAAAACGGACTACCAGAGTATTCTAATAGTAATGAATTTTTACGGTTTCCGTGTAAGAAATAATTTATATTCTGAGGGGAAATCAATTTAAAGAAAAGAGCATATCAGTTTGAACTATTCGTATACTTAGTGATCCTATTGTTACTTTTAATATATTCAATGTGAATCCAGACCCTAATGAAATTTCATCAAAGAATAATTTATATGGTACACAAAGAAAAGGTTAATTTAATAAAACTATTCAAATATTCAGATTGAATAGATTTGATTTTATTAATCATCAGGATTATAAGTTCAATAGGAAATGGAATAATGCAACCACTCATGACAGTTTTAATGGGAGATATGGTTAATAGTTATATCTACACTCCAGAAGATAATAGATAGTTAGTTATATGATTGTTGAAGAAATAAAAGAATCATTGAATAAAATAGAGTATATTTTGGAGTAATAAGGATGGTATTAAAATGTGTGAGGATATTTTCATTGATTGTAGTTGCACAAAGAGAAAGAATTAGAGTGAGAAAATTATATTTTAAGTCATTATTAAGACAAGATGGACATGGTATGATTTCCAAGAATCAAGAGAATTAACAATAAGAATAGCAACAGATATTAAAAACTTACAAGATGGAAATGGTCCAAAATTTGGAATGATTTTTCAAATATTCTCAATAGCTATTACAGGTTATATTCCTGAATTTATTAAATCATGTGATCTAACACTTGTACTGATAGTAACAGTTCCATTATCATATTTCTTTCACCGATTTTCAAATGGTTTGAATGAAATATGAAACAAAAACATTAAGTGTGTTTGAACTATTTGGTAGTATTCTAGAAGAAATAATAAGAAATAATAAGAAATAAAAGAATAATTCAATTATTAAAACAAGAACATAAATTTAATGAAGAAAAAAAATAAAAGAAAATGAACATTTTAATAAAATCAAAGGATAATGTTTTGGAATAGGATTTGGTTTTAGTATGTTTTATTTTTTGTTCATACTCACTTGGAATTTTGTATAGTAATGTGGTAATTAGAAGAAAATGAGGAAGTAAATGAGTAATTACTGTTAATGTTTTAAGAGTATTCTTTTTACTGTGAACTGAACCTCAAACATTAGCTATGGTTACAACACCTAAATTTATTATTTTTAGTACAAGTATCAGCTTATAAAATATTTACAACAATTGGTAGAATACAGATATGATTGTCAATCTACAGTTGGTGAATGTTTTAATAGATGTAATGTGAATATTAAATTTAAAGATGTTCAATTTGTTTATCTAACAAGATAGTTTCATTAAATATTAAAAGGCTTAATCTTAAAATTAAGAAAGGAGAATAATTGCAATAGTTAGGGCATCAGAATATTGGAAATCAACTAGTATTCAATTAATTTAAAGAAGTCATGACCCAATTAGAGGAAAAGTAATAATAGATGTAAAAGATATAAAAGAATTAAATATTAAATGGTTAAAAAATCAAATAGGAATAGTTGAATAAGAACCAATATTATTTGCTGAAAGTATTATTGATAATATTAAAAGAGGTATTCATAAAGGTATTGAATTAAGTAATGAAGAAATTTATACTACTTCTAAAATTGTAAATACATATGATTTCGTTTTAGTAATACCAGAATGATATAACATAATGTTAGGTGATAGAGGAAGTCAATTATCAGGAGGACAGAAACAAAGAATTGATATTGCACGTACATTAATTAGAAATCTAAAAATATTATTACTTGATAAAGCTACATCAGTACTTGATTCAGAAAATGAAAAGATTGTACAAGAAGCAATTGACAAAGCGTCAAAATGAAGAACAACAAATGCTATTAATTATTTAAAATGCAGATCAAATATGTGTTATTATAAAAGGAAATATTATAGAACAATGAACACAACAAGAATTAATAGAATTGAAAGAATTTTATTATACACTTTCTATACAACAATTTAGAATAGTGAATTAATTCAAATAAGTAATAATTAATTAGTGACTCATTTTATTTTAATGTAAAAATATTTCTTTATCTTTTAAAAATATTGTAAATATAATAATAATTAAATGTTAATAATAATATAGTATAAAATCATATAAACATTTTGTTTTGAATAATATTTTATTGATATAATTTAAAATAAAGACGTTTTATAATTTTAGATTTTATCATTTATTTAAATAAATGATATTTTATTTTCATATTTATGTTTTATTTTATTATTGTAAAATTATAACACTTATCCATATTTGATATGACATTACTGTACACTATGCTATTAGAATATTTTTGAAAAAGGAACCAAATATAAACAATACAAAGAGAGTAATGAAAAAAAAGTTCAAAAATACCAAAATAATTTAGTAATATTCTCAACCAACGAATAGTATATTTTGAGAGCATTAAATTAGTAAAGGAATTAAAAAAAAAATAAAACTTACATAATTAAAGAAAATATAAATTAATAAAAAAAAACACAAGAATGTATAGAACACTACTTTTATCACAATCAAATAAATATAAATAAATTAATTGATGATGACAATGGATTAGTCTTAGAAAATATTGAACAAAAAATAATAACTCTGTCAACACTTAATTAACTATTGATTTAATATCTAATTAGTGATTTTTAAAAATTGTTTACAATAATTTTCTTGATATTTTAATTTGCTTACATTTATTGAAGACATAAAATAATATTATTATAATATTAGAATCTAATTATATTTATTTTAATTCTTTTCTGATAATTATTAATAGTTATTTGAATCTGTCTAAAAATAATTCAATTGTAAAGCAAATAAACAAAAAATAAACTCAAGATTAAAATAAGAAGAGAATAATTATGATAATCTGATTTATCTTCTATATTTGTTAAATATCACTCTTTATACTGAAATTATTAAAATGAAATAATTATTCAATTTTAATATTGATTTCATCTTTTTAATTATTTTGAATATATTTTATTTCAATCTCTCCTTTGTTTATTGATAAGGGAAAGAAATAAAAATGGCTTTAAAAATAGTAAAATGATCTTTTGTATACCACTTAAATAATGAATCGATCTATTATTTATATTCTTTTACTAAAAGTAATAACTCAAATATTTAAATCCTATTTTATAATATTGTATTTGAATTCTTTCTGAATCGAATCACCTTGAATGTTCTCAATTACATTTTATATTATTTCATTTATATTATATTTGATTAAAACAAACAAGTTCATTATGGATATAAAATATTTTGAATAAGACACAAAATTAATAAAAATCAAATAAAACAACTTGTATTTGAATATTTATTCAACTTAAATTTAAGATTGAATGATCGAGTAATCAATTAATCACTAGATAATCATTTAATTAACACTAAATTGTTTAATGTTCATTGAATAAAAATATAGAAACGTATAAATATGCTAAAATTCAACACCAACAATCTAAGAGTATAAGTACATATTTTATTTCAAGAACATCCCTTTTAGTGTTTTACAAATACAAAAATATTTTATTTCATTATCTTAGTCATTTTTAAATAAATAAACTTGAGTTAATTGAATTTTTATCTTAATAAAAAGATATAAAGTACAGTTACACTTTCATATTTTCATTTGGTCTTAGAAACAAGCCAATACATATTATATACAACCATATTTTATGAAACTAAATGAAAAATATTCAACTAAATAAAAAGTTATGTTTTATGAATCTTTTAAACCATTCTTCGATTCTTTTTTTTTAATTATTGTCAATAAATTCACTATGTGTGTATAAAATAAAACTTGTAGAATGTATGACAGACACTTTTGTTCATAGTTATGATGTTTGAACATCAAAATGAAGAATAACACATTTTTCAAAAGAGAATGATATTAAAAACAAAATAGGGTTATGAAAAAGAAAAGAAAGACAAACTTCAAAAAGAAAAGAAAGGAACTTTTGTTATATAAAGAGAAATGTCAAATAATAACACATCACCTGAACCAGTTATTCATGCAGAAATTGAGAATGAAGAATTTGACAAAGTTGAAGAAAAGATTGAGGAAGAATTAGAACAAGAACATGAAAAGATTGAAGAAGAGAAAATTAAACCAGAAAAAGAAAAAATAATTGAATATGATAATAAAATTGATCCAATAGTTGATAATTATATTAATTCATTAGTAAATACTAAAGCAATGATTCGATCTGATATTGAAACAAGAATGTTAGCAATTATTATGTCATGTAAGGCATGTAATAGTGAAGAAAAAGCAAAAGAAATAATTGAACAAAAACTTGAAGAAAGACCAATGGAATATGATATTGTTTCTAATGTTAAAAGATTAAAGAAAGCATATAATGTAGAGAAAATAGATAATAAATTATATGGAGGTAGTTTGTTTAAAAAGACATTAGTTCAAGATTCAGCACTTGAACAAAGTGATGCAAAAATGGAAAAAAAGAAGAAAAAGAGAGAAGAAATGGAAGAAAAGAAAAGAAAACAATTATATGAAAATGCTGGATTAGTATCTGCACCAACTATTTCAGTTAATAAAGCTAAAGTTGATAGTAATTGTAAAGATGTTAAACAAGATAATATAAGTATTGCATATGGTAAACATCTTATTCTTGAAGATGCAGATTTAACATTAGCACATGGAAGAAGATATGGACTTATTGGTAGAAATGGATGTGGAAAATCTACATTAATGAGAGTTATAGCAACAAGAAATGTTGCAATTCCTGATAATATGACAATGCAATTTATTGAACAAGAAGTTGATGGAGATGATCGTTCAGTTTATCAAACAGTTTATGAAGCAAATGTTGAATTAGTTCAATTATATGAAGAACTTGCAGAACTTGAGAAAGAACCATTAGTAAATGCTGAAAAGATAACATTAGCATATTCTAGATTATCAGAATTAGATGCAGATACAGCAGAATCAAGAATTAAATCAATTCTTACAGGTCTTCAATTTACTCAAAAAGATTTTGAAAGACCAACAAAAGAATTTTCAGGAGGATGGAGAATGAGAATTTCTATTGCTAAAGCTATTTATATGCATCCAGATTTATTACTTCTTGATGAACCATCAAATCATTTAGATTTTCATGCATTAATTTGGTTAGAAGAAGTATTAAAGAATTGGGATGGAACATTATTAATTGTTTCTCATCAACGACAATTTTTAAATTCAGTTGTTACAGATATTATTCATTTTAAAGATTTTAAACTTACATATTATCCAGGAGATTATGATACATTTGAAGCAACAATGCAAAAAAAATTATTACAACAACAACGTGCATATGATGCTCAACAAATACAAAGAAAACATATTCAACAATTTATTGATAGATTTAAATGTTCTGCTGTTCGTGGTCCACAAGTTCAAAGTAGAATTAAAATGATGGAAAAAATGAAAGAAGTATCTACTGTTGTTGATGATGCAGAAGTAACATTAACATTCCCAGATGTAGAACCATTAGATTCTAATATTGTTTCATTTCATGATATTACTTTTGGATATGAACCAAATAAAATTTTATTTAAAAATTTAAATTTTGCATTAAATATGGAAAGTCGTATTGCATTAGTTGGAAGAAATGGATGTGGTAAAACTACTTTTCTTAAATTATTAATTGATGCATTAACTCCTGTAGAAGGTACAGTTCAAAGAAATCGTAAAGCACGAATTGGAGTATTTGCTCAACATTTTGTTGATCAATTAAATTTTAAAGTTAATGCAATTCAATTCTTCCAAAATAAATATCCTGAAAAAACAGTTCAAGAAATAAGATCTCATTTAGGTAAATTTGGTATTACTGGTGATTCTTCTTTACAAAGATTAGATACTCTTTCTGGTGGTCAAAAGTCTCGTGTTGTATTTGCTGATTTAGCATATAAACAACCTCATTTATTACTTCTTGATGAACCATCAAATCACTTAGATATTGAAACTGTTGAGGCATTAGCTCGTGCTTTAGCTGTATATCAAGGTGGTGTTTTAATTATTACCCATGATGAACGTCTTATTAGTCAAGTTTGTGATGAAATTTGGCACTTACATGATCAAACTATCACTAAATTCCCTGGTGATATTGTTGAATATAAACGTCATGTAAGAGCTGAAATCTTTAAGTAAAAATGAAAAAAAAAGTATTCAAATGAACGAAGTTTTTTTTTAATCTATTTCATATTTGTTAATTTTTATTATAAAAGAAAAAGAGAAAGATAAATTGAAAATGATTACAAACATCTTACAATTAAATAATAATACTTCATTCATATGAAGTAGAATTTTGATCTTGACTCGAATCATTGGTTGTTGTTGTTGTGAGTTGACTTAAGAGACTTTCTGAATGACAATTACAAAGATTACCATGTTCTATGAGTGTACTTCCTAATATTTCATTTCCATCAATAAAAGGGTGTTCAATAGCTTGTTGAGAAGAAAGACGAGAAGAAGCTTTTACAGTTAAAAGTCCTAAAATAAAATCTTTACAATCATCAGATATTTTGATATCATTTGGAAATCTCACTTTTCCTCTTAATATATTTGAAACTAATTCTTGGTCTTCACCAGCAAATGGAAATGTTCCATAAAGAAGACTGTAAATAACAACACCACATGACCAACAATCTATTTTATTACCATAAGGTAATCTTCGATATAATTCAGGTGCCATATAATAAGAAGTTCCTACTTGATCTGTCATTAATGTTTCTTTTTCTGTTTCAACTGATAATCCAAAATCACTAAGTTTGACTGAAGAAATGTCATTGAATCTTTCAAGTAACATATTTTCTAATTTAATATCTCTATGTGTAATATTCACACTATGAAGATATTTCACTGCACTCATTAATCGTATAGCAATTTGTCGAACTACTCGTTCATTTTGAATTCCATTCTTTACAAGATAATCAAACAAATCTCCTCCATTCATATATTCCATTTCCATCACTGCTCGATGAGATGTTAAGTATACATTCAAACATCCTAATATACATGGATGATTTACTCTTCTTAATATACTAATCTCATTTAATATTTGCATTTCTAATCCTTCATTATTCGGTTCTTTTTCTCTAACCTGATAAATTTTAACACAGACTTCTTTTCCTGACTCTCTTAATCTACAGTGATACACTTTACTAAATCGAGCTGAGTGTAATTTATTTAAAATTACATATCTTGATTTAGGAATACTAGAATCTGTTAGAAATGTTGTTTTTATTCCATTAACTATATTCCTCAGGAAATTCATTGATTTGTGACTATTGAGTTTCATCTTAGGTTTCTTTTCTTTCTTTTGGTGTCGAAGAATTTCTGTGTTTGTATCTCAGGAAACAACAAAGTGTCTGTTCGGGGGATTATCTTAATTATTTGATTATTTTCCCGTTCTGCTCCTTTTTCTTGTGTTTATCCTTACGGAGGTTTATTTTTAAAAAAAATATTTTTAGATACTATAATTAAATAGTATGTTTATAATAAAATAATTGTAAATTAATAAAATGAGAAAATGACAAAAAATGAAATTTTTTACAGATAGAAAAAAGTATTTTTAATAGTTTGAGAGAAGATTGTGGAAGGTTAAATTATACCAAACAATACCTTTATTTTTCCATAGATCTTTTGGTTTTAAATTATAAGACTGATTTATTTATTAAAATAGAGTTTTTAATTAAACTTCTAGTTCTTTAACTATTATCCAATTTAAAAATTAGGTAGTGTCTTTTAGACACATTTAACCTTAAAAAACAATAATTCGTTTTTGTAGTTTTTTTCTGAGGAGTTAAGAGAGTATTTCTTTTTTAAAGAATTGGTTATATTATTGTGTTTAATTGCAAGTTCAGTCTTATGGCTTTTGTTAGAAAGATCTTTGAAGACTTTTGCTTTTAAAAAAATACTAAGAAAAGATGAAGAATTGATTAGATACATTAGAAGTTGTTCTTTACTTTATGAAAAGAGAAAGTTGTTATGTTCCTTAATTAGTGAATATGATAAAGAGCTAGTCATCAACAAACCACTATTTTTCAATACCCAAATTGTCAAGAGAATTACTGAGTCGTGTTAACAATAAGACAATTCTTAGTTTTGAGTTTTTCCTTAAAACAACCAACCATAACCGTTGTTCAATTTATTGGTTGGGGCTTAATTGTAACTTTATCTCTCTGGTAGACAAAAAGAAAATAATCAAGTATCTTAGTAAGTTTAATTGGTAAGAAGTAGAACAAAACAAAAAATAAATGCACACACAATAACAGAGTGTCAAGACTTAAGGACTTAAGTAGATGAATTAAAAAACCAGCAAGCAAGTAATATGGAAACACCCTCATTATCGTTGAAACACTAATGGAGTTAAGGGAGTTTGTTCAGTAAACTTAAGTAAAGTAGCTTATTACAAACAACAAATTGATGTGTAAAATCAACAACCAATAACTGTTATAATAAACTAGTTTAATGATAATAAAAAATAATTTGTTTAAAGAAGCTCAGATAGAAAATAAAACAGTGAACAAAAATGTGTTATACAAATAACCTAGTAAAAGATATAAAGAGAAGATAACAATACACAACAAAGATTTTTAATAAAATAAAACAATAACAACAATCTTTCTGGAGGTCACTTATAATAAAAAAATAGAAAATAAATGAGGGAAATGATAGTTGAACAAAGAAAAATAGAATTATTAAATAAAAATTAAAAGCAACAGAATTCAGTGTGATATAAAGGAGAAGAGTTGATAAAAGATTGTCATAGAATAACAATTTGATTCTCGTATTAACCAAAAGTGTATTGGTTTGGACTTAATAAAAAATAACAATCAAAAGAGTATTTGATAATCGTTATTAAAGAAAAGAAAACAGGTGTAGAAGGGAAGAGATCATTTTGAATTAAAAAAGTTTAAAGTAAAACATAATTTTATTATGAAGCTAATATTAAAACGATAAATTGTTATATTAGTTAATAAGAACGAATCATAACGTCAAACAAATATATTACAAATATAAAAGAATCGATAAAAGAAGACAGAAATAAAAAATAACTATCTAAACTGTAAAAAAATACTTTTCAATGAGGGAGAAAATATATAACATTAAACACTCTACGATTTGCTTTAAAATAAATTTAGGTGATAGCTATGATTGATAGTTATTGAAATTATGTGTTTAGATAAATTATTTATTTACATCTGAAGATAACAAAAGCATAATCTGTTAATAACATATTTTTTTAATTCACTGATATTCTTTTTTTGTTATTATTTCTCTTATATATATGTGTTAAATAAAACAAATAATAACTAAATAAAGAATAAAACAAACTCTAAAATTCGTAAAGTTGTCACAATGAATTTAGAAGAAGCACCAAAACACCCTGTTATTGTGAGACCAAAAGTTAACGACATCTCACGAACTATTCAACAAGTCAGTTCTAATATCTCAATTAATTCTATTGTTGGGACAACTGCACAAATTGGAACATCGTTTTTGTCACTTTTTAAACGTGTACAACAACCAATTGATACAGAGATTGTTAAATCGTTGTATTCATCTTCATCTTATTGTTATTCATCTCTCTGGGAAGAAGAAAAACACAAAATAACTTCAGAAATAGCATTAGTTATGATATTAAAAGGATCAAATTCAATTGGACTTAGATTTGTATTAAATGAGAGTTGTATTCCATCGTTAATTGATGAAGAACAAACGATAATCTCATTACGTATTTTTATTTGGACAATGGAGAAAACACATCGTGAATGTTTATTAAAATGGATTCAAATGATTGATCGTTTAGAAGAGGGAGAAATTAAAGAAATGACTTTAAACCAATTATTTATATGTTTCTGTTGTGAAAAAGAAAAAGAAAAAATACAATCTTTATATCAAGCACTAAAAGGTTCAATCACAGTATTTGAACCTGAAGCAGGAGATCCTTTATTTTATGATGATGAGGAATCAGAACAATCTTTACTAATGGCTGCATCAGTTCAAACAATGTTTCGGTTTGTATTTAATAATACATTAATAGAAAGTAATTTTATTGAACATTTCGCTATATTTTCTATATTTATTATAGACCCTCTTTTATTTATTGAATACCTTGAAAAGATTACTTGTAACTTAGGAGATGAAATGTCTTCTAATCAGTTAAGTTCATTAGAACAAAATTTATATTCAAGAAGACTTTATTCATTATTTAGGAGTTGGTTAGAAATGCATGCAGAATACTTCTCAAGAGAATGTCCATTTCTACTTGAAAAAATTAAAAGATCAAAAACAATTAAATACCAAGGGTTTAATGAACAAGAACGAGTTGTGATTAACGCTCTTATTGGAAGGGCAAGAAGTAGATCACCGTTAATGTCACCATCACTTCATGAAATAAATGAAGGAAAACCAAATATGCCATATAAATCAATAAAAGAAATAAAAGAAATGTTTGAAGAATATAAGAATTATAAACACGCAAATAGAACAGTTAAACATGTTATTAATGATAAAATTAGATTACAACTAGCACAACAATTAACATTATTTGATCAAGCAAAATTAAGATCAATTAAATTATATGAAATTATAACAAAAAAAGAACATTGTTATTCAATAGATTCATATAGTAAATTTATAAGTAAATTAGGTGACTTAGTTTCTTCAGTTATAACTTCTAATTCACTTGAACGAATTAAAAATGAAAAGTTTTTTATTAAACTAACACTTACATTAGTTAAACTAGGTAATTTTAATGTTGCATCAACAATCTTCTCATCAATCCATGTTGCTGTAAACGATGTTGATTTTAATAAATTAAGTAAAGAACTTCAAAATGATTTAATTAAACTTCGTTCATTGTTTTCATTAACTTCAAATTATAAAAGATATAGAGAAGTATACAACAAATCTAATTATCCAAAACTTCCAATATTATTTGTTTGGATGGGTGATTTATTTCATACTAATGAATTACCAGTGATGTTTGATGAAGAAAAAAAATTAGTTAATGCTAAAAAAATACGATCATTAGGAAGAATTATATTATCAATAAGAGATGCACAAACAATAAGTTTTCATTTTAATCCATTACCAAATGTTCAGTCTTGGTTAATGAAATTATAAATATTTATTCTTCTTTTTATTCTTTTTTTTTATAACCATTTAGAAATGAAAGATTAAATAATGTAAAAACTATTGATTTACTTAAAAAGTATAAAGATCTCCAATTAATAAATCTAATAACCTTTTATTTTTAATATAATATGTTAATGGAGTTAAAGGGAAGAATTGAGATGTAATAATAGTGTATATTGTTCCAATTACAAAACCAATAATTAACATTTTCCATGTAGATATTTCAAATACAACACTCATACATGCAATAAAAGTTAAATTTGCCATTGTTATAGAAAATAAATAAATAGGTAATGAATTTGTCCACATTAAAACTAAACAAAGAAATACTTTTCCCAATGATCCAATAAGATATGATTGAGCAACTAAATTACATGAATCTTTAAAACTAATTCTTTTATAAAAACTAAATGGAATAATAAACATTGCTAAGAAAAATATATCTTCTATTACTATTTGAATTCCATTCCAAATAAATGAATAAATTGATGGTGTTGATGTTGTCATTTGACGAATATATGATTCTAATAACAATGAGCCAAAAAATAATTTTATAAAAAATCCATTTATTGATTCATCATGATTAAATAATAAATGTCTATATACTGGTCGTTTTTGTAAAAGCATATCAAGAAATACTAGTACATTATCATATTCTATATATTTGTCAGCTACTTTACCACATTTTGGACATCTTAAAAGTCTTATAAATTGACCACAAAATATTTCATAAGTATTATCAATATCACACCCACATTCAATACATTTCATTGAATCTTTTTTATCAATAATTGATTCATTTTTGTTTTCACTTTTTATAGAAGTATTACTTGTGTTATTCATAACAATGAAAATGTAAATGAATCTGAAAAAGATTAAAATAAGAAGAAATTAATAATACTATCTTTTTTTTTTGTCTTATTATTTCTTAAAAACAAATTAAAATTCTTTATAAAACCCCTTTTTTGTTTTATATATTAATAAGTGATAAATAAAACATAAATAAAAGCATAATGCAGTAAATAACATACTTTTTTATTTCTTATCTGATTGTGCCCAAATAGTCTTTTTAAGAATAAACGATATCATAATATCTGCTCCTATGGCTATAACAACCACTGCAACAATAATACCAAGAATTAAAATAACTGTTTTGGAATTATCAACTACAATAAATTAACTATGTGAATGCTCAATCATACTTTATATTTATTAATTTTATATAATAACAAACTTACTTCTTCACATTCTCCATCCTTAATTGCATAATCATCTTCACATTGAGTACATACACCCATTGAACATAAAGCACAATGAGAACCACATTTATTGCAATTAAAATTACCTGATTTATCTTTTCTTAGTTCATATCCAAATTCACATCTTTGGCATGAATCAGCATCAAAACATGAACTACAATGACTTGAACAATACTGACACTCCCCAGTAATAGACACGTATTGATTGTCTAAACATGAAACAGCATAGGTTAAAGAAATAAATAATATAATACAAATAAATACCTTCATCATGAGATAAATTTTTAGTATTAATTTATTTAAGTTTTAATCAAATAAAAAGATATACAACTTCTTTATTAAAAGAGTAGAATTCTTTTTTTCTTTCTTTTCTTTCTACTTTCTTCTTTTTTTTATATTTTTTATTAAACTATAAAATAAAAAATTTTAATTATAATTTATAATAAATAAAAAATTTTAATTATTTTATATTTTAATTAATTCTTTGTTTAATTGAATTAATAATTTCATTAATTCTCACTAAATAATCAATACTCCAGTCTTTAATTATAAATCTATCAATACTCCTTTGAAACATTTTTGATTTACTACTTACTTTTAATGCAACGACAATATTATTCCCATCAAATCCAAATGAATCTATTAATTGATATGGTATTTTCCATTTGGATTTAGTTAATTCTCCAAATTCTTTTTCTACACCAATCATCGATTCTAATGTAAAAATAATTCCTTTAATTTTATTATCAGCAAATTGTTTAATCCAATCATAAAACTTTAATTCTTTAAAAGCACCACCGTCTGCTTCCATTAACATAGACCATCCTTGTGATTGAAGGTAATCAAAACAAATTATTTGTTCTGGACAATACCTTGGTGGTCTAATTCGCTCTTTCGCAATTTGTCCAAATGATATTCCTGTTAATCCGTCATTAACACTTTTAAAAAATCCTACAATTCCATCTAATGGTTTTACAACTATTCCTGCAGTACCAACTAATGCACCACCAATAAACCCTGCTGGTGCCAATTGTTTCTTTTGTGTTCCAGCAAGATCAGTCAGTCCAACAGAAGTTTTCCAAACACCTTTAACACCACGAGCAACAGAACTTACAAGATTTTTTGTACCATCTTTTAAAGAATATTCAAAAGTGGATTGCTGTGCTTTTACTAAACTTCTAGGAACATCTTTTATAGAAGTGTTGTCTTGAGTTTTTGATGATGTTACACAAAAATTTTTTGAGTCGATAGAGTCAGTTAAGTAAGTTCTGTTAAAGAATAAATCACATTCGTTTTTAGTAATTTCATCTATTCCATCCATAGAAGTAATTCTAAAAACTGTTTGTTCTTGATTAGTACTATCAGAAGAATTCCCAATAATTGCTCTAAGTCCAAATAATTTACCAACAACAATCCATTTTAAATTACCTAAACCATCCATTAACTGATCTTTAATTTGGTTAATAAATGTATTAGTAGAAAATTGCTTATTAAGGATAATTAATTTATTAATTCTAACAGGAATTCTATCAATATCCATTTCGGCTATTTGATAAACTAATTTTACTAATTTTGAATATTTTGGAGGTTTTGTAGTAGCTTTATTAATACTAATATTAACATCAATTGAATTTAATTCAAAGTCTTTAATAATCATTCTACGTTCATTTTTAGTGGTTGGTGTATTTGTATTATTTTTAATCATAAATAGTGTTGGATATTCTTTTATTGTTTCGTAAATATGTTGTAAAATATCTGGTTCGATTAATACTTCTAATGGTTGAATTGTTACAGTTGCTTTAGAAATATATCTTAATTGAAATAAATTACCTTTTGTTGGAGTAATTAATAATAATCCGATATGAAAAAATGATTTATTTGGATCATAAATCCAATCAAGTGGTCTTGGAGAAATAATAACTGGATTTTTTAATATGTCTAATGACTGAAAGTCTAGTTGAATATAATCAAATTGCATTTCTAAACCAAGGTGTCTATCTGTTCTAATAATTTCTAATAAAATTGATTTAATATTTAATGATAATTCTTCTTTTGCATTTTTTCTAAATAACGAAATTCCAAATGAAGGCAAACTTACTCCAACACTCCATTTGACTTGTTCTTTTTTACGTTTTGATGCACCAACAGTAATGACAGTAGTATTATCTTCAATATCAATAAGTACTCTTCTTTTATTTACAACAAATTCTGTATCAACATTTAATGGGTCTATAGTATCTTCATTAATAATAAGTGATCTACATCCATCTGGATCAGTCCAAGCAAATGGAACAGAATGTTGTGGAATTAATCTAACAATTAATTTAGTTCCAAATTGTTTTACCTGAAAAGATTCATTAGTTCTATTATCTAGTCTTAAAAAAGGTTGTTCACAACCACTAATAAACGTATAAAATGAACCTTTATGATTTTGAGTTTTAATATTAAAAATTTTATAAGTATTATTTGTTTTTAATAATATTTGGTATTCATCTATTTGAGTAAGGTTTAAAACTATTCCATAATTTTCAACAATTTCAATATTAATTTTGGTAAAATGAATTGGAATTTTATCACTAGGAAATAGTTTAATATTTAAACAATTATTTTTAACATTAAATACTTCATTTGTTAAATTTTGAAATATAAAATGAGGTTTAATAATAATTCTTAATGACGAAGTAATTTGATTATTAATTTTATGAGGAAGAACTCTAGTATACAAATTATGATTATTAATATGAATTGTTTTAACTTCACCTAGTTGTAAGTCAATGAAATCATTAGATACTTTATTATTTGGTTCAAGAAATATAATACTATCCATAAGAAATATATTTTTTTCATTTTTATTAGGAACTGGTGCATATAAATAATATGAATGTATTGAATGTACTTCTCCATAATTTTTAATTGAAAGAGTAATTTGACTATCATTTTTAATATAATAAGGACATTCAAATATAATATTATTTTCTTGAATTCTTTGTCTAAAATAATATGATCCAATTATTAATAATGGAAGTTCTTTTTGATTAATTGAGTATGTTATTTTTGATGATTTCATTATATTTGAATTAAATACATAACCATCAGCTACTGATAAAACAGTAATAAAATAATGAATTGTTTCATTTAGTGATGCAAAAGTAACACTTCCTTTACTAAATGGTTCAACAACAACTTGTATTTTTTCTTTAGAACTAATCCAAGAAGTATTATTTGTAGAAATAACTGGATTTGGTTGTTGAGTGGATTGAATTAGATTAAAATTTTTATTTTGAGAAGGTAAAGAAGAAGAAGGTGATAATATATCTTTTTGATTAATAGAACTTTGTTGTATTATTTTAGAAGGAGAAGTTGAACAAACAAAAGGATTATTAAGGGGTAGTACCTTATTATTTAATTCTTTTAAGCTATTAAATTTTGAATTTTGAAATAAAGAAGAATGAGATAAGGGAGTAGATGAATCATTTGAAAATGAATTTTCATTTTTAACACAAGTAATTAATAATTTTAAAGGAAGGTTATTAACAAATGTAAGAGGAGAATTAAAAACAATAGTTAAAGGAGTAATACAAGTAGAGCCCAATCGAATAGAATTACGAAAATGAAAATAAACATCAATATAATCATCAATATCAATATGTCTAATAATAGTACATTCATTTTTAAAAAGTTTACTATACAAAGAATGAATAATAAAGAGTGTGTTATATTTTGAATGATTTTTAGCAGATTTAATAACAAGTTTCAAACTATTTATACCAATCATTGGAAGAAAAGAAGAGGTTTGATTTTCAAAACAATTAGTTTCAAAATTATTCCAAATTAATTGCAAAGGAATAGAAGTTTTATTTTTAAATATTACGATAGATGAAATAATAATAATTTGAATCCTTTGATAAAAATGTATTTTAACTAAAATACATCCAATTGTTTTTTCATTTTTTTTAACTTCATAAATAGTTTTATATTGTTTTTCATTAGTCAAAGTAGATATAGTAATTGGATCAAAATCATGAATAATTATTTGAATATTTCTTTCTGAAAATAATGACATTTCAAATGTTGAATCTTTTTCAATAGTAATTGTTTTTGTTTTCATTTGAATTGTTAATTTTCCTCCAACTCTATTAATTATTTTACAATTCCCTTTATTTTTATAATACTCTTCATTAATTGATTTTGCCCAATTTTCAAATAAATTGTTCATTGAAATTATAAACTCTGGTGTAATATTTATTATTAAAAACTTTTTTGGACTAATTTCAATTTGAAATTTTGGAAGAATACATTTTCCTTTAATATCAAATGGTTCAACCAAAGGCTCAATAATCCATTTTTTATTTGAAATATTTGTGTATTGAATTTGTATTTTATTAATAGTCATTTCCATTTGTTTTTCATTAAAATCCATTAAAAATGACTCAGTACTTAATATTAATGATTTACAACTTTTAACTGTTTGTCCCTGTTGTGAAATAAATTCACTAGATAATATCATTTCAACATTTTTTATAATAATATTAAATACTATTTTAGGAAATAAAATACTTTTAGATTTAATGTCTTCTTCTATAATGTGATGAATCTGGAATTCAAATCCTTCTTTACTTATTTCTTTTTTATTTATCTCAATTGGTTGATTAAATAATATTGAAATACTTTCAATATTTTCTTTAAACTCTTTAATAAGTTTAATTGTAATATCAAGATCTCTATTTGAAAATTCTGTATTTATTGAATCTATAAACAAATTAATATTTGGGACAATTCCTATTTTTGTTGTTATATTAAAAGAATTAATATTTACGATTTGAATCTTTTCATTTCTCATTAACGTTTTACTTATTAAACTTAAATTATTACTTAGTATATTCAGTGATGTCATCCTTCCATTCTCTATTACTGTATTTCCTTTTAATGTTGCATAAATTAATAATGAATTCCCTTCATTATTTTTAAATATTAATTGACTTTCATTTAAGTCAAATACTATATTTAGTCTATATCTTTCATTTATTACTTTTTCTTTATTAATTTCTTTTTCTTTTGTTATTTGATTCATTACATTATTTCTATTTTTTGGTGGTTTTAAATCACTCAATCGTTCTTTTTGTGTTATTTGTATATCTTTCTTTTCTTTTTCTTGAAATATATTTATTCCATATCTTATCACTTCTTTTAATGACTCCCATATTCTATTTATAACGTCAGGTACTAATAATAATTTCGGTGAATTATATTCTATTCTACACATACTGTTCTTTCCGTATTTATATTTTATATTAATGCTTTCTTTCGTTTCTTCACTTTCAAGTATTTGTTCTTTTTTTTCAATATCTATTACTTTCAATTTCCCAATACTTATTTTTATTTCTTTTTCTGTTGTTAAAATAATTCCATTAAATTCTTCTACTTTGAATTGTGATTGTGCTACTGTTAAATTAACTCCACCTGCTCTCATTTTAAATCGAATTCTTGTACTCATGAAAAATTCCTTCAAATTTTAAATAAAAGTTCTTTATTTTTTTTTTTTTCATTTCCCTTTTTTCATCTTCTCATTTCTTTTCTCTTCACCCTTTCTTATCTTTCTCATTAATTCACATAAAAATGACATTACCATTTGTCACGTGAACTATTTTTTTCATTTTTTATTACTTTTTATTATTATGTTTTATATAACGTTTTTTAGTTCATTTATTTTATTTTAATTTTTGAGTTTAATATTTTTATGATAATACCATTCTTCAATTTATTTCTTTCAAAATCAATTTTATTATTTACTTACCACAAATCAATATTCTAACACAAAGCTTTTAAATATAAAAAGAAATGAGTTATTAACTTATTGGTTTATTTTACATAGGTATATAAAGGAGTGATTCTTAAATGAAAAGACAAGAATAAACTAATTTCTCCTTCATTGAACGATAGAACAGTAAGACATTATTTTTCTATTATAGAAGATTATTAATATATTTTATTATTTAATTATAATATTCTTTTTGGTGTAAAAAAGAGGGAAAAAAGTGAAGAATGAAATCATTTAATGTCAACACCTGGAGATTTCCCTATTTCACCATTCTTCCTTGGTGGAGCAGTAGATCCTAGATCGATGTCACAAATAGGAAGTTTATGTCATGCAGATTATATGTCAACTTCAACTGAGTCACAAGAGAGATCATTAAATAATCCAAACGATACACATCCAGAGATTGTAAATGTAGTGTCAACATTTCAATTAGGTGTTAAATTAGAATTGAGAAAAATAGTACAAAAAGCAAGAAATGCAGAGTATAATCCGAAACGTTTTGCAGGAGCGATTATGAGAATCTCAAGTCCAAAATCAACGGCATTAATTTTTCAAACAGGTAAAATTGTATGTACTGGAACTCGTTCAATTGAAGAAAGTAAAATAGCATCAAAAAAATATGCAAAGATTATAAAGAAAATTGGATATCCAATTCATTATTCTAACTTTAATGTTCAAAATATAGTAGGATCATGTGATGTGAAATTTCAAATTGCATTACGTGCTTTAGTTGATTCATATTTGGCTTTTTGTCAATATGAACCAGAAGTATTTCCTGGATTAGTATATAGAATGGCATCACCTAAAGTGACTTTATTAGTATTTTCAACAGGGAAAGTTGTTCTTACAGGTGCTAAAGATGAAGAGAGTTTGAATTTAGCATATAAGAATATTTATCCAATCTTACTAGCTAATAGAAAAGAAGATATATCAAATCAATAATTTTAATTATTTTTCTTTCTTCATCTTAATTTTATTAGAATATTTTTATAATAATAATATAATAAATAATTAAGTTATGATTAATTAACAAGAATTCCTCACCATCTTAAAGAAAAAATAAATAAAAAATAAGTAAAAGAATGACTTTAACTTAATCAATGAATAATAACATCGGTTGTAAAGTCCATAATTACTTTATTCTAATTAAAATTAATAGAAAAAAAAATAATAGGAAAGAAACTCTCAAGAAGATATTTAGAATTTTTTATTGATAAAAAGGAATAACAAAAAGAATTTAAGAAATTATAAAAAAAAATAAAACTAAAAATGGTTATTTGGTCTTTTAAGATGGAACATAAAACCAAAAGAGTTAGATTTAAGGAATATCGATGTATTTATCCAGGATGTAATGAAGGATTAAAAACTAAATATAATTGTTTATCACATATTTGGGATATGCATATTCGTACATTAAATAATACACAAGAACCATTTAAATCAATTAAAGACAAAAAAACAGCAACAAAATGTTGTTTACCTTATTTAAAATTTGAAGAAAATGCAATAACAAATAGAAAAAGAAGACCATATGATTATAGTGATTTATTAGGACAAGAACGTAAAATAATAGAAGAAGAGGAAGAAGAAAATGAAATTGATTTATCAAATAATGATATTAATATTATTCAATCTAATTCACCACCTCAAATAAATATTTCATCACCACATCAAAATAATCCAATGATAAATGCTATTGGAATGTATCAATCTACTTTTTTAACTGATGGTATTTCTACACAAATTCCAAATCAAATTCAAGATCAATATACTCAAGATGATAAAGTATCAGGAAATAGAATTATTATTAATCCAATTACTTATGAACTTATTAATTCATGTGGAGAAGATTTTATTAGAATATATTATATTAATCAAAATATTAGAAGATTACATGTATTTGGAGAAATATTTGCAGAAAATGGATTTTTACAACGATCTGATCAAAGATATAAAAAAGATATTAAAAAGATTTCAAATGCATTAGAAAAAATAATGTTATTAACAGGAAGAAGTTATAAATATTTAAATGATAAACAAAAAAGATTTGGATTCATTGCACAAGAATTAAAAGAAATTATTCCTGAAGCAGTTAAAGAAGATGAAGATGGAACATTATCTATTGAACCATTAGCTTTACTTCCTTTTATTATTGAATCTCTTAAAGAATTAAATGTACAATTAAAAGATGTACAACATAAAACATTATCTATTAGAAGATTTACTGAAGTTACAGAAACTGTATTAAAAGAAATAGAAAAAACAACAACAATAACAAATAAAATATCATTAGGACCACCAATTTATGTTGCAGGATGTGGATTATTATTTGGTACATTAGCAATAATTATAGCATTAAATGGGAATTTCCCATTTATTTGGGGATTTTTTATGTTATGTAGTTTATCATATTGGATATCATTTCAAATGGTACCAAATGGACAATGGGATAATAATGCTATATTAGCACATTTTATATTACTTAATATTGGACTTGCATGTGTTGCAGTTACATTTTTAATAGGATCATTATTACAAGTTTTTCTTTGTGTTTATTCAGCTATAATGGTTATTCTTTGGGGAGCAAGGAAATGGCTTGATGTTTCGTTTAGTTCATTTTTTATAGTATCATTTATTTTATGTTGTATTGCATGTTTTGGAGTATTTATTTTTCAACCAACATTTAGTTGTGATGTTTCTACTCCAATGATGAGAAGTGTTGAATATCCACAAAATTTAGAATATAAAGATTGGAGTGAAGTAAAATTTAATTTAACATCTGAAATACCATGGAATTGTTTTGATCCAAGATTTGTTGTTAATGGTAAAACTATTAAATTTCAAAGTGGTGATTCAGTACTTTCAGCTATTGCAAAAGAAGGAACTGTAACTCCAGATACAGTAGATGTTAAATTAGTATGTTCATCTATAGAATATAAATGTAATGAATATTCATTACAAAATAAAAGATAATATGATAGATTTTTATTGTTTATCAATTTATTATTCTCGATTTAATATGTGTTCATTTAATAAAATTTAATTGATTCTGTTCGTTATTTCAAAAAATATATTTTCTTTTTTCTTATTAAAAAAGAAAGAAAGAGAAATAACGAAAAGACAAAAAAAAATTAACAATTAAGATTTAAATTTCTTGTAACCATTATAATTAAATTATTTTCAAATCATAAATAGTTTTAGTTTATTTAAGTAATTCAAATAAAAAAAAAAAAAAAAAAAAAGAAAAATTAAAAAAAAGAAAAAGAAATATTAATTTTACTAAATGAAATTATCTTGTTTTAAACAATTAGATTGTTATCATATTATGGTAATTGCAAAGTATTTTGAATATGAAAGTGATTTTATTAATATTATTTGTACATGTAAAAAAAATAAAAATATTCTTGAAATGTTTCATTATAATCCAATTCCAATACTTTCTAGAAAATTATTTCCAAATATTGAAACACATTATTTATATTTTCCATTTGATAAAAAAATTTCTTCAATTCAATTAGAAGCTATTTGTTTTGAAGTAACATATTCTCAATTCTTAGAATTTCAAAAAGAAAAAATTAAATGTTTTAAAATAACATATACTCAAAAAGATAGAATAAAATATGGTAATATTATACCACAAGGAATTAATAAAATTGGTGAACATTGTTTTGAAGAAAGTGATATTAAAGAAATAATTATTCCAAATTCTGTAACAATATTAGGAAATAATTGTTTTGCACATTGTACAAAATTATCTTCAGTTCAATTATCTTCAAATCTTGTTAATTTACCATTTATGTGTTTTTCTAGTTGTATTAATTTAACTTCAATAATTATTCCAGATTCTATTCAATCTATGAATGCTAGTTTTTTTAATTGTCAACATTTAAAAACAATAATATTATCAAAAACATTAAAATATATTGGAAGAAGTTGTTTTAAATTTTGTGTTTCACTTGATTCAATAAATTTTCCAACAACATTACATTTTATTGGACAAAATGCATTTAATTGTTGTATTTTATTAAATAAAATTTATCTTCCAGATTCAGTTCATAAAATTGATGAAGAAGCATTTTCAAAATGTTCAACATTAACATCTATTAGATTATCAAATAATTTAGCTGAAATTGGTAGAAATTGTTTTAAAAATTGTCATTCATTAAAAAAATTTATTATTCCACCTTCAGTATGTTTAATGGAAGCAGGAGTTTTAACTAATTGTAATAAAATTGAATTTTTTAATGCTACTCAAGATAAAAATGGAGATTTTATATATGAATTTACACAACAAGAAAGTGAAATTATAAAAAAAATTTATCAAATATATAATAAAAAAGTAAGTTTTTATAATATTAATTATATTGATGAAAATCAACAAATAGAAAAAGATGGAATTATTGATTTTAATTGTAGTATTATTGCTAAAGAAGCATTTAAAGATAATAAATTTATTGAATCAATTGCAATTCCACCTAGTATTATTCATTGTGATAATTCATGTTTTGAGAATTGTACATCATTAACATCAGTTTATATTCCAACATCATTAACTGCATTATGTGATTCTGCATTTGAAGGATGTATTAATTTAAAAATAATTGATATTCCAATGTGTTCATTTGAATATGTTCATTCACAAGTATTTAAAGATTGTTCATCACTTCAATATATTAAAATACCAACAAGTGTTCATACAATTTGTGATTCATGTTTTGAAAATTGTAATAATTTAATAGAATTAAATATTCCTAATGGTGTAACTAAAATTGGAGAAAAATGTTTTATAAATTGTTCTTCAATGACTGGATTAACAATTCCATTAAGTGTTGAAATTATTGGATTAGAATGTTTTGTTAATTGTTCTTATATTCAATCACTTCAAATTCCTTTAGATTTAAATGGAAATTATAGATTTCCAATTTCATATAATGAATATCTTTTATTTAAATCTTTAGGAATTTATTGTAATAATATTGTTTTAACTCAAAATGATATTAATGAAAATGAAAATATTCCTATTGATATTCCAATTAAATTAAATAATGAATTATTTAGAGGAAGTAATGAAAATAATTTTATTATTCCTTCAAATGTTATTGAAATTGGAGATCTTTGTTTTAGTGAATGTTGTCAATTAACATCAATTGAAATTCCATCTTCAATTACTAAAATTGGAAAAGAAGCATTTGCAGGATCTAATCAATTAAAAGAAATTAAAATACCACCAAAAATAAATAAAATTGGATCATTTTCATTTGAAGGATGTTATAATTTAACATATATTGAATTTGGAAATAGAAAAGATTATCCATTTACAGTTTCATTAATATGTTCTTTTATTTTAAAAAGATGTGGATTAAATTGTAATAATTTATGTTATTCAAGAAATGATTTTTTATTATTAAATAAAATATATTCAAATCATATTCCATATTTTGCTTTATCATGTTGTAATGATATTTATAATTATCAATTAGAAAAATGTATAATTCCAACAACAATAACAAGAATATGTTCTAATCAATTTTTAGATTGTGTTTCTTTAACTTATGTTGATATTCCATCATCAATATTAAAAATTGGAAAAGCATCATTTGCAAATTGTTATAGTTTAAAAGAAATTAATTTTCCACCAAAAGTTATTAAATTAAAAGATAATGTATGTATGTCAAATTATTCATTAACTAAAATTACTCTTCCATCTTCATTAACAAAAATTGGTAATTATTCTTTTTATTCATGTCGTTCATTAAAATCAATTAAAATACCAAAATATGTTCAATTTATTGGTAAAGCATGTTTTAATAGATGTACAAGTCTTAAAAATATTGAATTTGAACAAAATTGTAAATTATCTCATCTTTCATTTAGTGCTTTTTATAAATGTTTTAATTTAGAATCATTTAAATTACCAACTACAGTTTCTCAAATTGATTCTTTTTGTTTTTTTAAATGTGAAAATTTAACTAGTATTACTCTTCCTTCTTCATTAAAACATCTTGGTTATGTTGTATTTAAAAGATGTTTTTCACTTCAAAATATTATTATTGAAAATGGTCTTTTAGATATTGGTAAAGGTTGTTTTTCATCATGTACTTCTTTAAAATCTATTTGTATTCCAAATTCAGTTAGTCGAATGGAAGGTGGTTGTTTTTTAAATTGTAAATCTTTAACTTCATTAACATTATCTTCTTCATTAAAAACACTTCATGTAGCTTGTATTGATGGTTGTACTTCATTAAAACAAATTTATATAGGAAATAAAAAAATAAAAAAATATCCTTTTAATATTAGTTATAAACAATCACTTATTTTAAATTCTATTGGAATAATTACTTCTTATGTAATATTTACATCACATGATATTCCACCAAATCAATCAAATATAGAAGTACCAAATGGTGTAGTTATTATTGATGATAATTGTTTTAGAAATAATAGAAAAATTGATACTATTATAATAAATAATTCAATAAAAAAAATTGGTAAATATGCTTTTAAATCATCTATTCTTCTTCAAACCCCAATTATTCCAAATGGATGTATTGTTGATCCTACTGCATTTGAAGATATGAAAATTATTAAAAATAAACATGATTTTCTTCAACAACTTCAAAATAATAAAATTAATCAACTAAAACATATTCCAAATAATGTTGATGATCAATGTTTAATTGTTTAATTCTAATTTTTTATTATTATTTAATTTTTTTTTATTATTTATTAAAAATTAATCAATTCACATTTTAGTTGGTACTAAAAATTCTTCTTGTATTACTGATGAATGAGTTGTTGGTTTCATTGATTGATGAATAATTTCAAGTTGTTCTTTTGCTGTTCTATATTAAATAAATTTTTATTATAATTTATTTAAATTATAAAAACAAAAAACAAAAACAAACAATTTATCATCAAATGATGATGTTAATGGAATTTGTTGTATTGTTCTAATTTATTAGTTTATGATTATTTTATTTTATTCTTATATCTTATCTTATCTTATTTTTTTTTTACAAACTTTTTTTCAATTCCAAATAATATATCATCCATTGGAATTATATCATGTTCTTCAATTAAAGGTACATAATTAACTTCAGGTAATGACATATCAACATTTACACCATATGATATAGATTCATTTAAATTTAATTTCATAACTTCTTCTATTTCAATTGGTTCAAATACACTTAAATCATCCAATTGAATACCAATTCTTAAATGTTTACATTCAATAGGAACTCTAGGTAAATGATTAATATATCTCATTGTTGAAATATATTTATTTTTATTTGTTTCCATCTTCTCTTTTTCTTTATTTTTTGTTTTTTTTTAAGTTTTTATCTTTCTTTTAAGATTAACAAAAAAAAAAACCCTTTAAAAATAACTAATATTAATTAACTCTGAATGACTTCTACTTATCTTTCACAACTTTGGATATTAATTAAAAGAAATGCATTAATTCAATGGAGATCACCAGGAAAAATAATATCACAATTTATTATTGGATTATTTGTATTATTATTATTATTAATTTTTGATAAAACATTAATTGAACAACCTTCTTTTACATTAACAGAAAATATTAAAGATCAAACATTACCTGAATGTCCTGAATTTCTTGGAAATGATTGTGTTGATCTTTATATTTTTAATAATAATCCAAATAATAAAATAATTAAGAATAATGATATTTTAGAATTATATGAAAGATTTAAACAACATTATCCAATGAAAAATATTATTATCATTAATTCAACAAATATGAATGATAGAACAATTGAAGATTTTTTATATGATGAAGATCTTCATTATGTTTCAACTCTTATTCTTCATCCATCTAATTCAAATGTTTTTGATTCAACACCAACAATATTACAATATTCAGTATTAGTAAATCCACATATGACACAAACTATTCAAACAAAAAGTTATATGCAAATTAGTTGGGAAACACAAGAATTTTTAATAAGTAAAATAAATAAAAACCCAATTACAATTAATTTTAAATATCAACGATTTCCAAATAATAAAGATGAAACATTACAAAAACAATTATTAGGAGATATTAGTGGACCTTATCTTTTTGTTATTTATTTAATTAATTTTATTATTTTTCTTAATCTCATTGTTGGAGAAAAAGAAAATGAACATCGTCTTTATATGAAAATGGTAGGAATGTATGATAGTGTTTATTGGATAGCACATTTTATTCAAAATATGATTATTTCATTCTTTCTTTGTTGGTTTGTTATTGGAATAGGAGCAATTTGTGGATTTAGATTAATGACAAAAGCAAATTTATTTTGTTTATTTATTGTTATGTGGACATTTACATTTTCATTAACATGTTTTGCTTATTTTTTAGCTACATTAATAAATAAAACACGTATTGCAATAACATCATCAATAGGATTTTTTATTGTTGGATTAATTTTTCAATTATTAGCAGAAACTTCAATGTTTGTTGATGCTATTTTTAATAATTTAGCTTATATTTATATAATTATTCTTGGATTATTCCCTCCTTTATTCTTTGGTACTTCTATGTCTGGTTTTACAAAAAGATATGATTATGGATTAACATGGTCAAATATGTTAGAAAAAATTCCTAACTCAAATGTTTTTGGACCATTTTATTCTATGTTATTAATGTTTTGTATTGGTATTTTTTGGATTATTGTTGGAACATTAATATTAATTAGTAGTGAATCTGAAAATGGATGGTTATTTGAAATTTTTGGTTATAAGACATTAAAACAACTTGCTAAAAAAGTTATAAAAGAAGAAGATGATGATGATGAAATAGATGAAGATGTAGATATAGAAAAAAAAATAACTCTTGATGAATCAAATAAAAAACCAATGAGATTATATAATGTTAGAAAAACTTTTTATACTAATTGGCCTTATAAATCTAAAAATGATGTTCATGCTGTAAGAGGAATTACTTTATCTGTTGATGCAGGAACTGTTTTTACTTTACTTGGACATAATGGTGCAGGAAAATCAACATTAATAAAAATTATTACTGGACAACATATTCCATCACATGGAAGAATATTTATGGGAGGAATAGATCTTGCATTAGATCTTAGTTATGTTAGATCACAAATTGGATTATGTCCACAACATGATATTATTTTCCCTGTATTAACTGGAAGAGAACATCTTAGATTTTATGGTAGTTTAAAAGGTTTAAAAGGATATATTTTAGAACAAGAAATAGAAAATTTACTTGATCTTGTTTCATTAACTAAATCTGGAGATAAACAAGTTGGAAATTATTCTGGTGGTATGAAAAGAAGATTAAGTGTTGCTATTGCATGTATAGCTAATCCTAAATGTATTATATTAGATGAACCAACAACAGGAATGGATCCTGTTTCAAGAAGAGAAGTATGGAAAGTAATTGAAAAAATTAAAATTGGAAAAACTATATTATTAACAACTCATTATATGGATGAAGCAGAAATTCTTAGTGATAAAATTGCAATTATGTCACGTGGTAAAATACAATGTATTGGTACTTCTACTCATTTAAAATCAAAATTTGGAACTGGATATGTTCTTACTTTAAATATTGATATAGAAGAAATTAATAAAATAGAAAAAACTATTCTTAATCTTATTCCTAAAGCTAAAATTATTCAAAAAGTATCTGGTAAATTAAAAATTGGAATAGAATATAATAATTCTAAAGAATTATTAATATTATTAACAAAACTAGAATCTAAAGAAATTAATGTTATTAATTGGGGAGTTTCTCCTTCTAATCTTGAAGAAGTTTTCTTGTCATGTACTGGTATGGATTATAAAGATACTAATAAAACTTTTTCATTAGATAAATTTATTAAAGGAACATATCAACGTGATGATAATAATGAAGATCATATTGAAATTATTGATGAAATTGAAATGAATGAAATAAATAAACAATCAAATTTAACTCTTTCTCATTTACAATCTACTATTAATACTGATAATCAATCAAAACATTCATTTTCTAGTATTAAAAAAGAAGTAATTAATATTTCTCAAAATCTTAATGAACAATCATCTTCATCAATTCCTTTATTTGAAAATAATGAAAAATATATTAATACAGAAATTGAAATGGAAATTAATGAAAAGAAATAAAATTTATAAACAATTCATTGTTAACTTATTATTCTTTTGATTAAATAATATTTAATTTTTTATTTATTTATTTATTTTTTTCTTTTAATAAACAAAAAAATAAATTAAAAATAATATTTAATTTATTATTTCAATCATTTTGTATTGATAATAATCCTCCAATAATAAGAATAAAAATTAAAAAGAACAGAATTACTAAGAATTTTAAAAACCATAGAGTACAAGAAAAACAAATATTCTTTTTATATTCTTCTCTATTATTATTATTTTTTTCATTAGATTCTGAAATTAATTTTATTTTTTGTTCACATTGTAAAGCAATACTTGAAAATCTTTGTTTTAATTCTTCTAATTTTTCTTCTTTTGATTGCATTGTTTAAATGAAATAATAAGATTCTTCAAAATTGGGTTATTACAGACTATTTTATCTATTCTAAAATTAAATTAAGAACTAAGAAAAATAAAAGAAAATTATAACAATTTATTTAGAATTTAAATAAGTATCTAATACATTAGCCCATGTATTTAAATTCTCATGTTTAAGAAATACAAAACTATAACGTTTATTTTTTAGTATAATTTCATAACAATTTGGTATTCTAATTGATTTAAAATGATTTGTAATTTCTGTTAAATATATTTGATTTGTTTCTTCAAACTTTAAAAAATAACTTACTTGTTGTTTGATAACTAATGGAATAATATTATCCATCCAAATAATAACATCATTAAATAAAAAACACATTGATTTTGTTTTTAATCCATTTATATAACATTCTTCATAATAAATACAATATCTCCATGGTTGAATTAATTCTCCCATTCCATAAATAACTGATGCACATGTTAACAATAAATCATGTTGTTTAGCTCGTGTATTTGTTGCAATAACTAAATCATGAAATTTTTGATCTGCTTTTACAGTATATTTATAATCTGGATGTTTTAATGGTGTATATTTTAGTAGTTCAGTTAATAATGTATGATATCTCATTAATCTTTGAATTGGACTATAATAAATCAATACCACCTTTTATTTTTTTATTATTATTATAAACAATTTAAAATTAACTTCAAACCTTATCAATAAATCTTCTAATGATAATTTCTTTGTTGTTTCTTCACTACAACTTAGTTGAACAAATCCTTTAAAAATCTTGTTTTTATAAGCATTCTCTAATTCTTTCTTTTGCATATCTGAACGAAGTGTATATTCAACTAATGGTAACATATTATTTAACTATCACTTAATTAATTTGATCATTCTAATACTATTATAATAATTAAATTAAAAAAAAAAAGAAAACAAACAGTTGAAAGAATACTTTTTCCAAAACATGAATCATATTTCCAATTTACAATACATTTTTGAAAAATATTGGCATTCATACATGCTGCAGTCATAACTTGATCTATATTATAGAATAATGTTCGTATTAGAAGTTTAGGAAGGATTTTTCCATTAGCATCTTCCAATGGTTTTTTAAACAAGAAAATAACCATATTGAGTTGAGTAACAAAGTTGAGTTCAGTTTCAAATATTTCATTCACAATGAATTTCCTTTTCAACATCTTATGAAATTCATATGTTCTTCGAACTAATGTTCCTTTACAATGTGCAATAACTATATCCATTTCAATGAATAATATCAATTTAAAGAAATAAAGAAAGTTCCTTTTCATCGTTTTTCTCTTTTTCTTTCTTTTTTTTTTTAAAAAAATTCTTAAAATTAACCCAAAAATTTTCAGCTAATAATTGATTTGATTTATATGCTTCTTTTAAAGCATCAAAGCAATCATCATAATCATAGCAAGAATAATACTGACTCCATTAACACCTGATCTAGCAAATGTTGTTGATTTAGCACAATATCCATCGACTGGAACTGATCCATCAGCACATAAAGTACAATAAACAACATTATCATTAACTACACATCGTTCACATCCAACACATGATTCACATTCTCCAGTAGTTTCATTAAGATATTGTCCTGGTGCACATGATTCACAAACAAGTCCAGTAGAATCACAAATACCACTACAATTCTTACATTTTTCACAAATTAATGTTGTTTCATTTAAATAATATCCTTCTTGACATTGTGTACATGTATTATTATTCTTACAATGAGTACAATTATCCATACATTTATCACATGATGTTCCATTTAAATAATATCCTTCTAAACATTCTTGACAAATATTATCACATCCAACTGTCTTACAATTTTCAATTCCAATTATTTCTTTACATGTTCCATCATCATTTTCTCCACATTTACAATCTTTAATACATTTACATCCATCTAATTTATATCCTGGTTGACATGATGTACAACATCCATCTTCAGTATTACAACAAAGATTTAATTTCTTTTCTTCTGAAACTTCAACACATGTATGATTAGTAATTGACAATTCATATCCGCATGCACATTCAATACAATAACAATCCATATCTTTCTTTACACACATTGGATCAAAAACATAACTATCTCCAATTCTTGAGAAATTAGCAGTAGCATTACATTCTTGTGGAACTGGTTCTGGTTCTGGAATTGGATCAGGAGTTGGTTCTGGTTTTGGACAATCATCACCATCACAATCTGGATGATGTGGATGATCACAATCTTTACCACGACAAGGTGGTGGGGGTGGGGGTGGACATGTCTTTTTAGTACATGGAACACAACTAGTTTTATTATCTGATAAGACAAAATGAGGATCACAATCAATACATTGATCTTTATCACATGCTGAACAATGTGGGAATTTCTTTTCACATGATGTACAAGTACATCCTTCCATATATTCTCCTTCTCCACAAGTACCATTTTTATTACATTGGAAACATTCTCCCATATAATAACTATATCCTGGAAGACATTTAATACATTCTTTTTCATTTAAACAATGAGCACATCCAATAGCACATTTAATACATTTATGATTTCTTCTAAATGTATGTGGTGGACAATATTTACATCCAAGAGAGAAACATGCATCAACTTCTCCTCTTTTCATTTTTTCTGTTAATAAACAATTTAATTCAACTGGATCACAAACAAATGGACATGGATCTGTTCCATTTGGTGCTGGTTCATATCCATAAAATGGATTTAGTGTAGATTTACAATATCTACATGTTTCATCTCCATTACATTTAGCACAATTTTTAATATCACAATCTGGAACACAATGTCCATTTTCCATTTTCATTCCTTTTTCACATACTTTACAAATTGGTGCTTTATCATGACATAATGAACATCCTGGTGGTCCTCTAACACAAACTCCATTATGAAGATATGAATTAGGTTGACAACTGAAACATTCATTAGCATCACAAAGATCACATCCTCTTCTTGAACATGGAATACAATGTCCTTTATCATTATAAAATGTCTCTTTACATTCTTCACATTTATCAGCCATAAAACATTTCTTACATGATGCATCACATGTAACACATTTATGATATTTATCAAATCCAAATCCTTCTTTACATTTTGAACATATTCCATGAACATTCTTTCTTTCACAATTTTCTACTTCATAATTTTCAACACATTTACCATATTCTGGATCAAGCCAATATCCATATGCACATGCAACACATGTTCCATTAGTAGTACATTGTGCACATGTTTCATCACATTTAATACATCCTTTTCCAGATGAATAATATCCTCTTTTACATCTAAGACATTTAATACCATCACATTGTCCTGGTGCACATCCATCAACATAATGACATGGAATACATTCTCCTTCTTCAGTAAGGAAAAGTCCATTATTACATACAAGACATTTACTTCCTCTAAATTGATCATATGTACAACTCTTACATCCTTCTGAACATTTTTCACATTTTTGTGTAATTTCACTAAAATATTGTCCTGGTGTTTTCTTCATATTACATGTTGGATCAGTATATTGACATTTATATGTTAAACATTTTTCATTAGTACATGTTGCACAATCTTGGAATTTTTCTGAACATTCAACACATGTTCCATTAGTAGTATTTAAGAAATGAGTTGGTGCACATTTATCACATGTTGTTGAATATGAACATACATCACAATGTTCAATACATGGTGTTTTACATGTTCCATATGAAAGTAAATATCCTTTAGAACATTTTGTACAAACATCACTAGTACATTCTGAACAATTTTCAAATAAACATTTATCACATGTTCCATTAACATTTCTATATCCTTCATCACAAACTTCACATGTTCTATCTGGGAATGGAATTTTACAAAATCCATTATATCTTTGTTTAACATTTAATTTAATATTTTCTTCCCAATCATAATAATATTGTGCTGGATAGAAGAAATTCTTTCCATTAATAATTGCATGGAAGAAATATCCTTTCATTAAACTTGGAATATGTTTAAGTGGTGTATAAGCAATACTATAAACATGTGTAACTCCATTTTGATAAGCAAGTGGTAATTCAATCATTTTACCATCAATAATTAATTCTACTTTACTAACTTTTTCATGTTGTGGAACATGAATAACAACTGCATATATTCTTGAATTTCCAATTCCTGTATTAAACCAATTTCCTGCAATCATTGGTGATTTAATTCTAAGTCTTGGACTAAAATCTGGATATGTTACATCACATGCAAATAAATTTTCATCTTTAACAAGAGTATTAACTGTATTACATCCAACAACTCCTGATGGTCTTAATAAAAATCTTATTCTTCCTCTTGGTGTTTTTCTATTAATATAATCTGGTTTACATCCTGCAAGAACTAAATCTTTCTTTCCACAATGTTGAATATCTTGATAACTTCCATGACATAAATAACTAAAGAAATCATTTTGAGTTTTAGTTTTCCACATTAATGTTTGTGCAAGTAATTTAAGTGGCTTATATCCTGGAATAAATCCATCTAATTTTTCTGGTAATTTAGATTTTAATCTTGATCTAACATTAGCAAATGATTCTCCAAGTCTAGCATGAGATGCTGTTTGTTCAAGTAATGCATCTTGATATAATGGATAATAATCTGGGAATTTCTTTAATCTAATTGATTCTGTTTTAAAAAGAAGTTTCCATGATTCATCTGCAATAACTGGTTTCATATATTTTTCAACAAATGCTTGTGGATCAACTCTAAGCATATTAATTAATAAATATGCTTGTTGCTTCTTTCTGAAAATAGAATATTCTTTCTTTCCATCTATATCTGTACTTGGAAGTCCAGGATATGGGAATCTAATAAAATTCTCTGCAATACAACTTACAATAATAAGAGCAATAAAAATTAATTTTGTTGTGCTCATTATAAGCTATAATATTATGATTTTTTAATTCTTAGTTCCTTTCTCTTCTATTTTTTTTTTTTTGAGAACTTTTTTCTCTTTGATTTTTCTTTTTTTTTTAGATTTTCTCTTTTTTCCTTTCATGATTTTTTCTCATTTCTTTTTTTTTGGTTATTTGTTGTTTAAAAATATTATTTAAAATAATTATCTTTCTTATTAATTTATTATTTGATTTATTTATCTGGTTATAAAATTACCAATATGCTATTGTTCAAATGATGCAAATTATTTCTTTCTTATTCTTTTCTTATTCATTTTGATACTTTTGTTATTATCTTTTTCTAATGTCTTAATACCTCTTTGAAAACAAAACACTTCATTTGTAATTTTCAATGAATTGTTTTTAAAACAACCAAATATTTTTCTTGATAATAAAAAATAATAATATAAAAAATAAATCCAATTTTATTTCAATGGAACGAATTTAGAAGAGTGAGTAGCTCCTACACCTGGTCTTCCATGGGTAACTGGTTTGTAAGTAATTGAAAATTCTCCAAGATAATGTCCAAGCATTTCTGGTTTAATTTCAACAGTAGTGAAGGATTTCCCATTGTAAACACCAATAACTGAACCAATCATATTTGGAAGAATGATTTTATCTCTGCAATGTGTTTTAACAAGTTTTGGCTTTTCACCTTCTTTGGTAGCCTTTTTGATTTTAAGGAGTTTCTTGACAAGTCGTTCATGTTTTAATTTGGGGGATCTTCTATATGATCTTCTAGCTCTAGCGTCCAACATCTTGACAAAATCAGCCTCTGGCATAGCAGTGATTTCTTCAAGTGATTTTCCTTGTAATTCAAATTTCTTGAAGGTTCTCTTCTTGGCTACTGTCTCGGACATTGGATTCCAAAAGTTCTTTCTTTTCTTCAAAACCCTTTATTTCGGGAATTTACTATTATTATAGTTTATTATACTATTTGTTATGAGTATTTTGTTTCAATTTAAAATTTAATGAAATAGTAAGTTATAATATCACTCCTTTTTTAAAAATTCTTTTTCAAGAAGCAGCTGTAGTTTAAATGGTAAAACGCTTTCTTACATTAATATTGATGAAGTATTATAGTCAAAATGTTAAGAGTTATGGGTTCAACTCCCATCAGTTGCATTTTTTCTTATTTTTTTTTTGTTAATATTCACTTTTTGTTGTATTTATTTTCATTTAATAAGATAGAAATAATCTATTGAATTGTCTTGATAAATATACAATAAATTAAATAGAAATGAATACAAAACACTGAAACATCATATCTAGAGACAGGTTATATACTATTTTCAATAAATTAATATATATTCAATGTGGTATTATAACTGATTAAATTGTAATGAGATTATAACATGATAATGAACAATTAATTTATAAAAATATGAAATATTTAATTGTTTACAAAAAATAAATTTGTTTAACAAACTCACTGTCATTTATTTAATACAATTCAATATTTAATATATACTTATTTAAAATACCCACAATTGATAAATCACATCAACATCATTTTTATCATTGAGAGATAAATATAAATGGTTAGAAATGAAATTATCGAAAACAAATTAAATTATTCTGTTTTATAAAAATTAGTATTATGTAAAGTATTTTGGTGAGTACAGTGTTTTATTTTATTCTTGGTTTGCATGGTGAGTTAAGGAAACACTCATCTCCTATTTTACTAACCATTGTTGGAATAATAAAATCATCTGTTGTCTGTCGATTAGTTTCTTTGTTATTGATTACCTTCAACCTTTCTGGCATTCCAAATGATCAACACTAGTTCATTAATAAATATTTTATTCTCTTCTACAAATTTAATATTTGCAATATATTGGTTAGTGGTACATTCATAGAAACATTATTCTCATATTTTATTAAGTGTTTTTGGTATTATAATACTCTTTAACGTTGTACAATCATTAAAGCAGTAATTTCATAATCCACTTACTGATGTAGAATACTAATACTAGTTAGTAACAACCATTCACTTAAACAACATTTAATATTTTAATAACTGTTATTCGTATAATATATTCTTTAATGATATACAACCATGAAAATAATAATCTCTTAGTTGAGCTATTTTTGTTGGAACTTCTATTTGAGTAAGTTATTTACATCCATAAAAACATTTGTTTCTTAATTCAATGGTTAATGATGGTATTTAATAATTGATTTTAATGATACATATTCTTTAAAGAACTTCCTATTTTATTAACTTTGATAGCATATTAATTGTTTGAAATTATTTACGTTTTTGAAAAGACTTATCTCCTATTTCAAGAAGTGATGTTGAAATAATAATAATAGCTAATGGTGATCAGTCTTTAAAACATTCATAGTCTATTTTAGTAACTAGTGAACATACATTAACAGATTTAAATAAATAGTATCTGATAAAACCCATACTTTTTAATTTAACAATTGAACTTGGAATAACCATATTAATTAATGAAGAATATTCTCTAAAACACTATTTACATATTTTAGTAATTGATGTTGGAATAGTAACACTACTCAATGATTTACAACAAGAAAAACAACAAACTCCTAATTCAATAATTGATATTCGTATAATAAATCTATTATATCTTTCTTTTCAATATTCTTTCAATGATTATTTCTAGACTTTTTGTGATTTCAAAACTATTTAACAAGTTCATAAAAAAAATAAAATTTTTTGTTGTTATAAACTTAGTACTTTCTATATTTAATGATGTTAATGATGAACAGTATTTAAAATAACTATCTACAATTTTACTAACTGTAGTTGGTATAGTAACTGACTTTAATCTTTTACAATTAAGAAAACAATAACTTCCTATTTCTTTAATTATTGTTGGTATATTAATTGTTGTTAATGATTTGCAACTATGAAAACAATAATGTCCAAGTGAATTAACTTTTAGTGGTATTTATTTTCATATTTTTCTAAAACATATTTTATATTTTATTTTTACACATATTTCCTGCTTCTTTTTTGAATAAATATGGTTAAATAACCTACTTCATACTATGTCATTTCTTTAGTTATTTTTCCTTTTTTAAATATTTCATCATATTTATAATAAATATGAAATGTTTCAATATTACGAAATAATTTTCTTGAATATTCATTTAAAGGAAATAGTTATAATGAAATTGTTCCATATTTCATTGAAATCTTTTAACTCAATTTCTAAATTAATAAAATCTTTAATGTCATCAAAATACATTGGTATTATATTATTTCATTATACACAATTTTTATTCATAATTTATTGTTATTTATTGTGTTTATTCGTTCATTCATTTTAATTTAATTTTTTTTTTTTGAGTTTTGAAGTATTTTTAATTGTAAAAATATTTGATTTTCTTCTTTATAACATGGAGGAATTAATTATAAAATATACAAAAAATATCTAAAAATTGTCCGAGCAAAAAGTCATTATAAAATTTACATGATTAAAAATTATTACATTATGAATATTATGTATAAATATGAAATGTATATTATCTTTTATAATTAATTTGGATAAGATTATTATTTATTTTTATAGTGTTGATTATGTTATTTTAAATTAACTTAATATTATTATTTTTATTTATGTTATTATTAAATTGTTTAATTATTGTTAAAATTAGATATTGTATTGATTTGATTGTTATATATTATTATGTTATTTCATTTTTATATTTATTATTATTATTAATTTGTTTGTTTATTAATTATATTAAGTATTTATTTATTTGAAATGATTGTTTATTATTATTATTATTTCATCATTATATTTATTTATATTGTTTATATTTAATTATATGAAATTAATTTATTTATTTATTTATGAATTATATATTTATAATGAATAATTTTATTTAATAATTTGTTTATTGTTGTTGTTATTTTATTTTATTTTTAAATCATTTATTTATCATATTTTGAAATTAATATATCTTTATTTATTTGAATAAGTATTGAATTATCATTTATATTTTCTATATTTCATTTTATTTATTATGATAATTCAATTAATTATTTTCTTATTACATAATTTATATATTAAAATAATTTTTATTATCATTTTTAATGTTATAATCATTTTATTATTTTTGAAATAATATTCAACACTTTTCATAAACAAAATATAAATAAATATAAAACATAAACACTTAATATATAAATCAAATAAAATAATTAAATCAATAATAACAATATGATAAAATATTTAAATTATTTATTAAATCAAATATTGATAATATTTTATTATTTTTTATTTTTTTATTTCAATAACTAAATAATTAAAAAACAAGAATTGATACAATGAGAATGAAGAGTGAATAAATCTAAATGAATACTAATAATTAATACAAAATATAATTCACACATATACAAATTATTCAATAATAATTTAACTAATTTTTTTTTAATTATGTAAATTTTATAACGATTTTAAATTATATAAATGTTGAAAACTAAGTAGTGAATAAAATGATAGTTGTAATATTCTATTTTTACAATAAAATACATCATTGTTTAATACAACAAATTTGATGCTTATAGTTTTGAATTATTGTATTATAAATTCTATACAATGAATCATAGAAAAATTAACCACAAGTATTAATAAACATCATTATAAACATACAATTCATAATAAATGTCACAATAAGAATTTCTTTATTATGCTTTTCTATAATTTTCAATATATTCACAGATAATTTCTTTCTGTTATTCTTCACTTAATTTCTGAAATTCATTGATACTTTTGTATCACATATGCTGTTGATTCATTTCTTATCTTTTAATATAAATTTAATCTTTTACTGTTTAAATAACAAAGTATTAAATGACTGAGATGTTATTAAGTTAATCAAAACATAAACACATTTATAAAAGAAAAAATTTATTTTATTATACCTGTTTGATTATATTCTTCAATATTATTTGATTTTAATATTCTTAAGATTATCGATTATTATATTCAATACTTTGCTATGTAAATACAATCAATTATAGTTACATAATTTATAAATCTTATAATGAAATAACACAATTTCTCATTATATTATTTATTAGTTGTTGTTATTATATTTTTGTTATGTAAAATTATTCAACCTTTTTTCTATGAATTTTATGTTGAATGAAATTTTGATAATTATTTATTTATTATTGATACATATTTGAAACAAAAAATAATTAGGTTCAATAGTTATCTTATTTCTAATAATAGTCTTAATGTAATTAATTGTTTATTTAGTTTTTATTCGTTATTTTATTAATAACAATTGATTCTAATAAAATTTCCAAGTTAAATAATTTTTGTTTTAATATTTATTCATTTATAACAACAATATATTACCTTGATTTAACAATTTAAACTTATTAAATTATTATTACTCTTAATTCATGTTTAATAACACTTATGTATTATTTTTAACTAGAACATTGACACAGCTCATTCTTTTGAATCTAACAAATGAGGTTAATAAAAATGAATTAAATATAAATGTTTATTATTGATTGAATATTTTCATCATTTCATTTCAATAATAATGATTCATTTTTGTGTGAAATAATATTTTCTATAAAGTGTATTTATTGTTCCATTACATTCAAATGATTACTGATTACAATAGCACATACTATATATTTCTCTTTTAAAATAACAATATCATATTGTCCAAATTTAAATATAGAATTATCAGATATCTAACGACCCAAGTAAGTCTAAATTATGATTATTTAATATCAATTTTCATCATTTCTTTTATTCTTCCATTTAGCTCTGATCAAAATAAAAATGACTTTGTGTCATATATATAATTTTTATATCCTACTTATTAATTTTCACATTAACATATCCTCTAAATTTATTTCAATCTTCATATTCAATAATAAGTATTATATGTTCTTTATTTATTACTCTTTTATTAAATAATTATCTTTCTTCCGTCAAATCAATAATGTATAAATCAAATATTACATCATTTATCTTTCTTGATTCTCATTATACTATTTGTATGATTCATTCTTTTGTTTTATTAAATTGAATATTACTATTGGTGTTGTTATTCACATTATTTACTATTATTATTTCAAACTTCTATTCTTCAATACCATTTTGTTATCATCTTTAATTTATTGGATTTATTTTCTGATATAAACTATAAATAATAAGTGTTATCAAAACAACAAACATATTAATGGTTCAGTTATTAGAAAAAATGGATTATCAAAAAAAGATCAAAATTCAACAAGTTTGATTAAATGAGATAAATACACATTCAATTTGAAAACAGTCTAAATAATTCAAAATAAGTAAAATGAATAATTTGGAAGTGATGTAAAGAATAAACAAATATGAGTATTTTATTATTATAATTGTCTTAATTAACACAAAGTTTGTTTTGACATTAGTAACTCCATCTTCTTTCTATCTGATAATTTAATTTTCCTTGTATCTTAGCCATTTTATTTTCAAATACTTTTTTATTCTTTTCACTTTGTATAATCTAATATTTATTTTGATTTATGTTCTATTTGTTCCTTAGACAACTACATTCGTATTATTAAATTATTAATACTCATAGTAACTGAAACAGATATTGATAAGAAAAGATTCTTCATCACTGTAAAATACCAGTATATAACTATCTCAATATTATTAATTAAAGTAACATTTACAAACAAATGAATAATTTCCATTCCAGCACAAAAATATAGTAATTCAATAAAATGCATTAAAACATTTAACTTGTTTGAAATAAACAATAAATAATGAACAAAACGAATTAATTTCTATAATCATTAAATCACTCTTTTATTTTCATTTATTAATAATACCATCTTATACATTATTTAAAGTTATTTAACCATTTATCTGGTATTTCTTAAAATAAAAAAAACAAGAGCAACATCAAAAAGTATATTAAACACTGTTTAAATAATCAGAGTGTTTAAGTATTTTATTTAACCTTTTTATTGATGAATGAGAAATAATACTGATCTATTCAGTTAATTTTAAATAAATTGAATAAGAACTACTACAACAAATGATAATTTTTAATAAAAAGGATTAAAATCAAATAATAATCAATATACATATCTATAAAATATCAATCAAATGATTGATTGATGTATTTGTTTAAACTGATTAATCTCTAATATTATTATGCAGTAATCATTCCTTTCATTAAAGTTATGAACATTTCTTTTGTCTTTTATGAGAATACAAACTAATGTTTTAAACAATCATTTACTTCTAAAGATTATGTAAGTAATCACCAATTTATTTTACTCCAACTCGATTATAATTATTTTTCTATTCTTCATTTTCGACACTTGAAGAATATCTACATTCAATACTTCATGAATATTATGAAAAGATTATTCCTTCTTTCAGCACATTTAACTAACATAAACTATTTGTTTTGTTAATCTAATAAAACTTTTTATACTAATAATTCTGTAATTGGTAATCTTCTATTTTTATCAACTACCATAAAATGACTATGGAATAATGCATGATTAAAGTTTGTATGTATAGTATTTCATAGTGCTTGTTAATGAGAAATGTAATGTTTCTTAACTTTTTGATATCAAATCAAAACCATGTTTATTAAAATTACATAATGCCAATAACATCTTTTCTATTTTATTTCGTTAATTCTAATTTATCAATACATTAATACACCAACAAGTGATTTAACAATATAAATAAGTATTAATAGTTAATGTAGTACTCTACATCTATATAGATTCATTCAAAGAATATTGTAATTGACAAACAATATAATAGATATAAATAATATTAAATATTCAATTATAAATGAATAATTAAATTGGATAAAAATATAACATTGACTTTAATCATTATAAGAGATAATCAAATAATAAATGTTTGTTAATAAGATTTATTATGAACACTGTTTCATTCTTCCATATTCAATAAGATGTAATCTCATTTTGAAGAAGTGTTGTTTCATTTAATTCATTGTTTAACAACTATTCTAAAACACACGAACAAGCTGTG